CACTTGGGAGGCAGAGGCAGGCGGATCTTTGTGAGTTCAAGGCCAGCCTGGTCCTACATAGTGAGTTCTAGGACAGCTGGGGCTACAAGGAGACCCTATCTCAAAAAAGACAAAAAAAATATCTATACATCTCAACTTGTTTGATAAGTGTGGTGGATCCCATACTGTGGCAGTGCCTGAGCAAAGACAGTCTAATTCTTGGAGTTGTTCAAATAAGAGTGAGCCTCCTCTGTTCTCTGAACTCCTTCTTCTGATTTCTCTTGGACTTATTATTCCAAAAAAATATACTCTCTTTTTTGCTTTAAACAGTATTTCCAGCATGACAGGGAAGGATTTTCCTCTCCTGACCCCTAGTGACCCAGAACAGCAAACACAACCACAAACAGATATCAATCTAATTTTACCTGTTGCTTGCAGCATAAACTATGAATAATTTGTTGCTTTCAATGTTGCTACTTTCAGAAATATTTTCACAACACACACACACACACACACACACACACACACACACACACACACACAATTGTGGACCAGGAACAAGGAGGGAGAAATAGAGAACATAGTCTAAGATTAAAGTTATTTGTTTAGCTTAGCTTGTAAGAGTTTATTGCAAGAGGATCCCAAGGCCTAATGAGGTTGTTTACATTGTTTTCCTAAAGGCAAGCTAGATTTGAATAAGCTGATTCCACAATATGAGGGCAGACTCAGTAGTGCTAAATGATCTTAAAACGTAAGACTAACTTTGGTTATAAGGTTATGTAAGACAGGAGACATTTGCAGGAAAGTCATACCCATAGATGAAGACAATGAAAGGAGGAAATAAAGACGTGTATGCAAAATGCATTCATGACAACATAAATACTGGTGATAGCTATGTCCTCGTTTCTTAACTGATCAGGTGATCATAGTTGGAATCTTATCCACTCCTCACTCCCAATTCTCTTTGCCCCCAGAAAGCACCTCACACAGATATGGTTCTTTACTTGATAAAGTGACCCAAATTTTCCGTCTCATAGGGTCCACACCATCAGTAATCTTGACTGAATGGGATTGTTTTCCATTGATATTAATCACAGGTCATGGTGGTACTAGGAGAGACCTTAAGGGATCACCTGTATTTCAGACATTTCTTTACTGTTAGAGCAGCGGTCTCATTTCCTGCTTAGTAGCCAGAGGAAAAACTCATCACAACCATCTTTGTGGATTTCAAGGCATGAAGAGCCCAGGGTGGCCAGGTAGCAAGCTTAACTTGTAGTTCAATGGAATCATGTGGTGCCCCCTAGTGGAAGTATTCTTCCTAGACCTAATACCTGCACAAAATAGGTAACGGACAGGAACTGACAGTTTTGCTGGGGAAATGGTGAATGATACCATGCCCACTCCCATTCCTTGGTCTCGGGACCCATGCATGCTGGTTGTGGGAGAAACAGCATCACATGCTGGGTGCTTATTCAGAGCATGCACAGTCATCTGCAGAACCTATAGAAGCCAGTCTTGACTTCTACTTGACCTTTTCATTCTAATGGCCTTCACTCTACAGGTCAGGGAAACATTGGGAAGATTTTGTCAGTTGTTCAGTTGTCTAATCTAGTTATCAATTCCAGAATTGGGGAAATAACCACAGAATAGGTTTGGGATCCTGAACCCACTGGGAGTAGACCTAAGCTAAAACTCATTGATTACCCACCTCCATACTATGACTTTAGTGAAATGGTAACATTTGCGGTTTCTTAAAACTCATGTCAGTTCTATCCAGTAATCTCTGGTAATTCTGATTATTTCCTTTCCCCCGTCTTAGTTTGTTTCTCCATTGCTGTGACAAAATACTCTGACCAATACCAACTTGGGGAGGAAGGGGTTTATTTTATCTTACATCTCCCAGGTCACAGTTCATCAGAGAGCCCAAGGTAGGAACTCAGGGCAGGAACCTGGAAGCAGGAGCTGGAGCACAGGCCATGGAGGAACGCTACTTACTGGCTTGCTCCCCTGGCCCCTGCTCAGCCTGCTTTCTTATGCAACACAGGCCCACCTGCCCAGGGGTGGCACCACTTACAATGGGCTGGGCCCTCCCACATCACTCAACAATCAAGAAGGTTCCCCATGGACATGGCCACAGGCCAGTCTAATGAAGGCAGTTCCCCAATTGAGGCTCCCTCAACACAAGTGTGTCAAGTTGACACTAAAGCTATCCAGCACACCCCCAATCCATAGTCACCATGGTGACAGGGTCATAGACGCCTTTGGAGAAAGCTGGAAAAATATTAACAGTATAAATTTTGGGTGACGTCATGAACTACATCCTCAAAAGGACATACATTCTCCTTCATTCAAGGAGTTCTGGGTCTAAACTGGCTCAAGTATAGGAATTACTTTCTTGGACATGACTCTCTGTTCCCAATTTTTAAGTTAGGCTCTTGTTCACTTGATGTAGAACTCTCTCCCTTACATGGATCAAGTAGGAATCCAGCAGATCCCCCAAGTGTTTCACTTCTAGGAACACAGGATTGTCTGACCAGCACCTTGGATCCCTGTGAGTCAGGCTTTTCTGATTTGCTGTTTTGACTATTATGGTAATTATGCCCTTCCTAGTTGGGTGCCTAGGTTCCTCCAGAGTGCTGAGATTATAGGAATGCATCGTTATGTCCAGCAAGTCTGCTGATTTGATTGTTAATTTCATGAAAAAAACCCTTCATAGCAATATTGACACTGATGTTTGATCAAAACTCTGGCTGCCACAGCCTAACCAAACTGACTCATAAAAATAACCAAAGAACCATCACAGAGGCCAAGAACACTTCCCCAGAAATTTGCCTCTAGGTAAAGAGACTTAATCTCGGCAGACAGGCTTGTTGGGGCCATGAGCCAGGAAAGAACCCGGGTGGAGATACAGTAGTGCGTCTGAGCCCTAGTCCCGAGGCCTCCCAACAGCTGCAGTATGGCCCGAGACATGTTGTTCCCATGTAGCTTCCTGTGGTCTGTGACCGTTTGTGCTATGTCACTAGTTCTCCAGCTCCTCCTATGGATTTTTAGCTCTTTGGGATCAGGAATATGTATTTGTATGTTTTCCTTTACCACAATACCCAGCCATGCTGCTGAATACAGTAGGAGGTCCATCACTGTCTGCCAGAATGATGACTGTAAAAACGGAAGAGTGTAGTAAATGCTCTTGATCTGCCACTAATTGTGTCCCCTTGAACAAGCCACATAGTCTGTTGGATTTCCAGGTCATTTGAATGAGGAATGAGTTCAATTCCCCTCCATCAGTGAGTTTATGTCATGATTATAGTGACAATAGGGCAAACTTATCGTTCATTCTTGTTCATACTAAAAGCTCTTTTACAGTGAATCCCTTTGTGGGCACTGGGCCATGTCCTGCCTGAGGATGAGGAAGAGTTGAGGTCTCTAGTCCCTACAAGGGCTCTGTGCTCCAAAGCTTAATCATGTGAAGATTTTCTGATCCAGATGCTACCTATGTATACAAGATTGCAGTGGCGATTTCATCATTTCATCTATGTTCTGTTCTTTTCTTGCACACACACACACACACACACACACACACACACGTATATAATGATTTTTTTTTACTAAGTCCACTGAATATAAATTTGGCAGCCAGAAATAGAAAATTATTGGCTCCCATTAATTCAGTCTGGAAGAGTAAAAGGAACATCTTTCCAAGCACTGGGGGAGATGGGAATTAGAATAATAACATTATTAAAGAGCAAGGACAGTGATTCCTTGATGCCAAGCGCCATGCTCAGCACTTTCCATGCCTAGTGGTTAGTAATTATCTAATGACCTCAGGAGGTAGATACTTTTATCTTCTCCAGTTTACAGGAGAGGAAATGGAGGCTTAAAGAGGCTAAGTCACCCAGCGGTGAGTGTGGGAATAAGGGGCACAGCTGGTATTTGGATCCAAATGTGTCTGACTCAGAGGGGATGGGTAACCCCTTGCTTCACAGACTAACTTAGTCACTTCAAGAATACCTTTTAACTTCCTTCCATGTTGTAATGGTGGGATTCAATGAGACCATCTCCTCAGTTCCTTCCAGCACTTATAAAGTTGGAAGACCTTTCTTTGGCTCTAAGAAATCAGCCAGAACATTCCCGCCCCCAATCACTCCTCACAGGAGGAAGGTCCTCAAAGCACAAATAGGGGTGACACTGAGCAACTGCTGGGAGCTCATCCACACAGAGACATAGAACCTGACCCAGTGAGAAGAGAGCTAGGAGGTTACTGGTCAGAATCCCTCCCCTCCTTTTATGCCTGTTTATTCCCTTAAGAGATGATGGAATGGGACAAATGATTCTGGGATAACTTTCCCCATCATTCCCAACCCTGCCTACATACATTTCCCATGACTGTTCAACCACACTAGACCTTGAGAAAATGAATATAAAGAGAAGAGGATGGAGGAAAAACTGAAGGACACTAATAGGCTGACTGGACTGGAATCGTTTGAGTTTGATCCCAATGGGATTTGGAGTTGGAGCTCACCATCCAAAGACTAGCATGTCCTGTCAGCTGTTCCTTTCCTCCTCCCCCCTTCTCCTCCTCTTCCTTCTCTTCCCTTCCTTCCTTCCTTCCTTCCTTCCTTCCTTCCTTCCTTCCTTCCCTCCTCCTCCTCTTCCTCCTCTTCCTCCTCCTCATCCTCATCCTCCTCCTCCTTTGAAGCACTCCAGAGTCCTCATCTACTACCACCCAATCTTGAGGAGCACAAAATTAACAAGAGCAATAAAACTAGCATTTATTAAGTCCTCTCTATGGTGGGCATTGGCCAGGCTCATTACAACAGTCTTATCCAGTAGATTCCCTCTCATTTAAGGGAGGAAAAACTTCAGGTTAGATCAACCAATGCATTTTTAAGTTCCAGGGCTCTTAAGAGGTAAGGAGCTTGTATTTTTGGTCTTCCTGGACCCATCTCAGGGGTCCAATCCAGGACTGTACTATGCACTCACATACCTCATGGCCTGAACCTGAACAAGTTCTTTCTACCTAGCCTGCCAGTGTTCAGCTGCTGGATCCTACCCAACACCCTGTGACCCAGTGACTGGCCAGTGTGAATGCCTGCCCGGGGTAACGGGAAAGCAGTGTGATAGGTGTCTCTCAGGAGCCTATGACTTTCCCCACTGTCAAGGTAAGGTAGCCAGTGGCATGCTGGAGGGCTGCTTCCTGTCTGAGTGGGTGTAGCCAGTCTCTCAGAGACTGCCCATCCTTAAACCGCTCCCCCCACCCCTGCCACCCGTACATATTTGGCCCAATCTTCCCTAGTGCAATTCCACTAAACATACATAAATTACGTATACAACCTCAAAGAAATTCAGAGATAATTTGTTCCTAATGAAAACAATGTAAATTTCTGTGCCTAATAGAGCTGGGTGCCTCAGTTCCCATGTCACTTTTCTGTGTGCAGCAGTGAACTGAGAGGGACTCCTTGGAGTTTTCCCTCATATTTATTTGCCCCCAGCCCAAGGTATCAGTGTCTTCTCTCCTTAGTGGTTTTCAGTGCTAAGACGCTGCTGACTGGGAAGTGTGCTGTGTTCCCGTCCCTCTTTCCAGAAACAGAAACTGCTGCCTGCCATTCTCCCATAGCCCCATAGCATGGGCAGCCCCAGGCATGACAGTCCTGCCTGGTGACTTCAGAGGTCTCATGCTATAGAGGGGCTTATTTGTGCAAGACTGACTCAGACTTTCTACCAGAAGAATGTGGTTTCTGCCTGAACCCTCCCTGTTCCTGGTAGCACTGGCAATATAGCATCCAGAGCCCACCGAGACTGGATGGAAGAGCAGACTGCGTCTCCCAGAGCCTTCCTAATCAGAATTCTCCAGACCAGAGTTCCCTGAGGGAAATTGCGGGTAGCAGTCTCAGGAACTTGCCCCTGAGAAGGCCTGAGCATCCCTGGAAGGCCAGGCGATCCCAGGGTGGGTCTGAGCCTGTGTGGGTATCAGGAACAAAAGTGCCCCAGCAGACGCAGAGCAGCCTCGACCATGCACAAGGTGATGTGGACTGCTAGAGAAAAACACAGAAACAGACCTGAGGGTGAGGAAGGCAGGAGGGGAGGACAGACATCATGAAAAGCTGAGGCCGACTTGACACGGAGGAAACCAAGGCAAAAAGCTAAGGGGCAGTTTCTAAGAATGACCCTGCAGGTGCAGTGGTGCAGGCCTTTCATCCCAGCACTCAGGAAGCACAGATGGGTAGATCTCTGTGAGTTTGAAGCCAGCCTGGTCTACATGGTGAGTCCTAGCCCAGCCTCTACAGAGTGAGACCATCTTAAAAAAAAATCAAAATAAGAGAGAATACATGATCCTATTATGGTTATGTTTCTATGATCTCAAAATGAGGCTCAGAACAGGCTCATCCAATTTGTTTTCACCATAATAATACAGAAACTTTGCACATTCTCAGTGAGATTATCCGATGAAGGAACACATGTTAATTGACTTCATGAAGTACTTTAGCACAGGTGGGGAGCAGTCGCTGTGATTTTAAACCCACCTTGTCTACCTTGTGAATCCTAGCCCAGCCTCTACAGAGGGGGAACCATTTAAAAAAAAATCAAAATAAGAGAGAATACATGATCCTATTATGGTTATGTTTCTATGATCTCAAAATGAGGCTCAGAACAGGCTCATCCAATTTGTTTTCACCATAATAATACAGAAACTTTGCACATTCTCAGTGAGATTATCCGATGAAGGAACACATGTTAATTGACTTCATGAAGTACTTTAGCACAGGTGGGGAGCAGGGAACTGGGATAATTACCTTTCCCGCTATACAAGGAAGTTAGAAATTCTCTTAACTTCCTTTGACTGGTGCAATATTGCCCTCTTCTGGACAATTCTAAAGATGCTCAAAATTCCACATTTTTCCTAACCCTTATCAATTAGAAGAAAAGTTTTATTCCTAGGCAGGGCAAAGAGTTGTTTAGTGACAAAAAGGGTAATTTGGAGATCAAGTATCATAAACTATGAATTGCACATAAAGTCTGTCACTTGTCTGGGCTGTATAACTATAAATATAGATGCACTATTTTTTTAAGAAGCAAAAATTGAAAAATTTGAAACACCGAAGCAAACAGCCAGACATCTGTAACATTTCTAAATCATAAACAGGTTCCAGCAGTGTTTGTGACCCAGCTGGGACCGTTGACTCCAGCTTGGTAAGTAGAGGATTTATGTAAAAGAGTCAATACTAACCGTGTGGGAACTTCTAGAAATTAAAATAAAACCCAGGACCAAATTATTTAGAGCCTAAGGTTCTTTTTCAAAGCATGTATGTGATTTTTTGAGAGTTTTTTTTCTTCTTGTTTTCAATAAGGTTTATTTAACTTTGTATCACGGAGTCCTGGTTTGAACTCTTCCTATAGAGTAAATTCTTGCTGTGAGGCTTTGCCATCATGGAGAGCCATCAAGTTTCCGTCCATGGCCAGGAACATGTTAAATAAAACTACCATGCTCAAAATCCTTACATATTCTTTATATTATCCCAAGAAAATGCTCGGGTGCTTTGAACAATTTTCTAAGCCCTTTAGGAATTATCTCTCTCCTTGGCCTCAGATTCTAGGGAGGCGCCTCAGTGGGAAGGAGGCCGCCACTCGACAGAGTGACGATGCAGAAGCTAGGCAGTGAGTCTTGCATTCATAAAGCACCCACAGATAAGCATTGTTTTTCCTGGTGACTATTCCAATTATTTTTCTTTGACAGTTATAGTCTATACTGTAACAGCATCCACAGATACAGGCAATATTTGTGTGCGTTGCGTGCACATGTATGGGTTTGGAGGTCAGAAGACATACTCAGGTGTCATTCCTCACTGTCTTCTATGAAGCAGGCCTCTCACTGGCCTATAGTTCACCATATAGGCTAGGCTGGCTGGCTGACTAGTGAGCCCAGAGATTTGCCTCTTCCCACCTCCCCAGCATTGAAATTAGAAGGGGCGTGCCGTCATGCCTAGCTGGGTTCTGGGCATGAAACTCAGATCCTCATGCTTACAAGGCAACCACTTTATTGACTGAGTGCTCTCCTCAGCCACGACAATATTTGAAATGAGAGATCTTTAGGCTTCTCTTTGTCTGTGTTTCACAATTGCTTTTTAACCACACATGTATATTGTGTGTATAAAAGGTAGTGAATGCTAAAAAAGTTCAGAAAACTCTTAAAAGCAACCTAGGGCTTTAATCAACCCCTTAATTTACTGTTCATGACCAAAATTTATTTTGATGACAAGGCTTTGCTTAAAACATGTGCTTGAAAACAGATCTTAATTCCAAGATGCCAAATGGTAGTTTGATTTTCATTTGAAGGGCTATTGCCAATGCAAGCTTCATGTTGAAAGTCCTGCTTGCAATATCTGCAAACCATTATATTGGAATCTGGTGCCGGAGAACCCCAGTGGATGCTCAGGTAAGCTGTCTTACACAGAGCACTTCCTTCCCTGCCCCTCCATTTACCCCTTCTCCGGGCCCATACTCACAGAAAAGCTCTTTGCTAACCCAACTTGATTTCTTCAGCATTCTGTGTAGTGTGTAGACGCTCCCACCTCCATTTTGAGCAGAACTTCTGATGTGTTCAAAGTCAAAACCAAGGATTGATTTACATTCTGTTTCCATATTCAATTTGTTATTTGCAAAGGCAGCCACTTGAGAAATGCTTCTGACCTCTGCTTTCATAAGCCACTGTTTCTGGCTTAATTTTATGTATGTATTATGAAACTTACATGTTGCCTACTGCACATTAATTTTATGCATGTATTAAAGCCAGAACACCAAGTTTAAAGTGGAATTAAAGGTGCTAAGTGAAATGACTATGTTCAGGTGTGAGTATATTTTTATACAGTCACATCAATAATAACCTTGACATTAGAATCCTTCATAAACCCCGTGATGCTGCAGCTGTGTTGGAGTAGCCATAAGCTAACCATGACTCTAAATGGATGATATTGATCAGCTGGTTCTGCAAACCTGCACAATCTGTAATATTACTGAAGTCTGCAGGGAAACCCATCCACACATTGCAGGCGTGTAATGTCCCCAGAGCAGGAAACTCTTTGTGTACCTCCTGGCTCAAAGACCCTCTCTTCTCTCCACAGAATGCCAGTGCCATGAGGCAGGGACACTGAGTGGAATTGCAGAGTGCGGGCAGGTAACATGGGCCAGTTTTTCATGTGATCACAGTAAGATGCTGTAGCAGTTGATTGCGGGATTTCTGGGAGTTTATTGGTACCCATCTAGTCATTCAGTTCATGGTCATCCTTTTTCTGATCCTGGCTACACTACTTCCTGTTGTACAGTAAGTGTGTTTTCAATCTTGAAGGTTAGCAAATTCTGTGTATCAAATGCTATCATCTGACTTATTGTACTACAGGAAGATGGTGACTGCAGCTGCAAAGCTCGTGTGACTGGTGATGCCTGTGACACCTGTGAAGATGGATACTTCGCTTTGGAGAAGAGCAGTTACTTTGGCTGTCAAGGTAAATACATTTGGTGGGGTCTTCGTAGTGTGAAGTGCTAAAGGACAGACTGCAGAACCCTGTCTTCTTGGTCCTCTGTCACCTTTCAGGGATGGTGCTCAGACACTGTCTTGAGAAGTCCAGATATTCAGTTAACATTCACTGTAAACTGCAAATGCCTCTACTTTGCACCAGAACACTGTTGGTTCAATTGTAAAATACAAGACAGGGATGGGAGGGCATCTGTTAATGTTAAAAATAACATCAGGCAAGAGAGATGGGTCAGTGGTTAAGAATATTTGCTGTTCATCCAGAGGACTCACGTTCAAGTCCCAGTACCCATATGGTGGCTAACAACCATCTATAGCTCCAGTTCCAGGGGATCTGACACCTACTTCTGGTCTCTGCGGACATTGCATGCATATGGTACATTTACATACACAGAGGCAAAACACTCATACATGTAAAATAAAAAATAAGATTATTTTTTATTTTGTGTGTATTCGTTATGTAGGTAAGTGCACCCATGTCATGCAATGCCTGCAGAGGACAGAAGAGGCTGTCAGATACCCTGGAACTGGAGTTACGGACAGTTGTCAGCTGACATGTAGATGCTGGGATTCCCCCCTAGTCTTCTGCAAGAACAGCCAGTGTTCTTAACTGCTGAGCCATCTCTCCAGCCCCTAAATGAAATATTTTTAAAAAAAAATAAAAGTAAATAAAAATAACATCAAGAGTTAGTCTTCTTAAAGGTCGGGTGTGGTTTCAAATGCCTTTAATCCCAGCACTTCGAAAGCAGAGGCAGGTGGATCTTTATGAAGTCAAGGCCATCCTGGTCTACATGATGAGTTCCAGGTCAGTGAGGATAGCTACATAGTGAGAGCCTATCTAAAAATATATAATGCCAGACATGGTAGCATGCACCTTTAATCCCAGTGCTCAGGAAGCAGAGACAGGCAGATCTCTGTGAGGTCCAGGCCAGCCTGGTCTACATAGCAGTTCTAGGCCAGCTGGGGCCATAGGGAGACCCTGTCTCAAAAAAGTCAAAAGAAAAAGAAGTCATCTTAAAGCTATATTTCACATTATCTAAAAAAACTAGATACTTAGAGATAGGACTGTATTAAACAGTGAAACTGAAGAAGTGGTTGGTCCATAAGCTACTCACTCTTGAATCTCTCACATCATCTACCTAGCATAATTATTTACAGTAGTGCTATGTTTTTCCTGTGTGTGTGTGTGTGTGTGTGTGTGTGTGTGTGTTCATGTTCATATATGTATGTGGAGGCCAGAGGTTGACATTGGGTTTCCTCAATTTTTCTCTACCATTTTTTGAGACCAGGTCTCTCACTGAACCTGGAGCTTGCTGATTTGACGAGGCTGGCCAGTCAGCAGGCCTCAGGGATCCTCCTGCCTCTGTCTCCCCAAAGCTGAGATCACAGGCATTTGTTGCTGCGTTCCTCATGCTTGTGTGGGAAGCATTTTACTGACTGAGCCGTCTCCCAGACCCCTAGTGCTGTTCTTAACCATGTCAGCCCCCACGCTACTGTCCCTTTCCACTGGACAACAGTGTTCCATCTGGCCTGTAGTCATGTACCCCCAGATTAGAGGTGGACATATGGAGGGACAGGCCACTTTTGTTAGGGCTGTCCCTGCCAAATAGAAGATATAAAGAGGCAAGAGAGCAGCCACCATACCCTGAGATTATTGGCAATCTCTTCTCATGGAAGGAGGGAAGCCTCTGGCAAGTTTCTAGAAGTGGTTTGTCAGTAACCTCAGCTGTTTCTTGACTTTCAGGATGCCAGTGTGACATTGGTGGGGCACTCACCTCCATATGCAGTGGGCCCTTGGGAGTATGCCAATGCCGAGAGCATGTTGAGGGGAAGGGGTGCCAGAGGTGAGTCTTTGAAGGCTTCTTTACATGTTCGTGTTGTGTGAAGCCATCTCGCACTTTCCTGCCTGTGCTGTGATTCCTGGGAAGAGAGATGAGAAGCAGGTGTGAGGAGGCAGACAAGCTGGAGGATTGGAATTGAATCTGTGCCTTTGTCAATTAGAATAGGAGAGTTGGGTGCCCATAGAAACCCGTTCTGTTGCACCCCAAACTCCTGAGTTTGAAGTGGACAGGGCCAAAAAGCTATGCATTGTGAGAACAGGAAGCTGAAGGCCCTCCACAAGTCACAGCATGGAGGGGCTGAACAGGGAGACCAGCTCCATTGTGAGAAAGGGAACATGGGTTGGCTGGCACAGGCCTGGGCTCCTGGGTCAATGAGACTCAGTTCCTGCTGCTTCTCCATGAGTGAGGAGTGGAAAGGTCAAGTAAATTAGAATAAGATGGGTAAGAAAACTCTGGAAGTGCAGAAGGGCCTGTCTCACAGGAAGGAAATGAACAGTGGTTTCTGTAGTGTAGTGGTTATCACATTTGCCTCACAGGAAGGAAATGGAAATGAATGCTAAAGTGACACGTGTAGATGGAGACCAGGCCGGGAGGTAGGAAGTACACAGCATACCATCTCTTCATCGCTGTAGGTAGTTACCAGAGAGAGAGAGAGAGAGGTGGGGTGAGAGAGAGAAAATCCACCAGAAATTGTTCCTCAGTGCAAGGTAGAAAATTTTAAAATTTCTGACTTTCAATCATATGCTCTGAGAAATGCAAAATTTTCACCACCTTAACCATCGACTGCGCTTGCTTCATCAACAGATTGATAGAACAATCTTTTTAAAAAATTATTTATTTAATAACCACATAATTAGAAGAAGCATTTCATTACAACAGCATTGACATATTCAATAACAATTTCCAGACCAAAGATGCATCTCTTTCAAAACTGCCTGTACGTTTTTAGGTTCACAGTTGAATTAATACAGTTATACAATATTATACTCAGCATAAATCCTATAAGACAAAAAATTGAACGAGGTTTTAATCTGTAAAAAAGATCTCCATTTTATTTTAAAATATACTGTTTCATACAGAAAAACTCATTTTTAATGTAACTCTTAGATGTTTGCACATGGGTCTCTAATCTTTATCTGATTATTACTAGTCAGTCGGTTACTTTCTGAGATTGTTGGCATCTGAGCATGGATATAAAGTCATCAGGTAGATTTCAATGGTAATGTTTTTCACATCTACTAATGAACATGAAGCAAATATAACTCATTTATTTATTGATTTTTTGTGTGTATTTCTTACAGAACATCCCAAACAATCTTATTCATCTATATACCCACATAACAAAAGGTACCCTCCCATAGCACCCCCCCCCCACTGGAGCCCATATACTCTGTCATCCCTGTGTTGTCAGTGTCCCCAGCCGATCCCCAGTGCTTGTCCATCCACTGAGTCTAGTCAGCCTATCTAGAGTTCCTTGTTTGAGGAAGATCAGCTCTTCCTCATCTAGCAGCAATCAGTTGCCAATATTCCTTTAGATAAGAATGGGGTCTGCTGTTCATTTTCCCTGATCTATGCGGTGTTACTATCTGGGAGTCCTTTGGGCCACCCTGTCCAACTGGACTTAAAGAATTATATTGATCCCTTTAATCTTTGGTTATACTTTCCTTTTGGGTGTTTAAGACCATACACTTGGCCCAGATAAACCAATTTATTTTTACTCTTAAGGTCATTTGAGGATCTAGTCCTCAGGGGCCACATGGCTTGGGAGGAGCCCCTGGCTCCTTACTTTTACTAGTAACATGTATGTGAAGATAAGTCAAAGGTCCTGCTCGACTGTGGCTGGCTTCACTTGGAAGCATGGAGGAAATGTTTCCTTGGTGTTGACCCTCATCTTTGTAAATTGGATACTGGTTCAAGTCCATCTGGTGGAGTCTCCATCGCCTCCTTGATCAAGAGGACAGATGACTCACCACAGTTACAGGGCATTTTGAGAGATGCTCCATAGTTCCCTGGAACTTAATTGACCTTGGAGGGCAAGGAGCAAAAACTGTCCTTTAAGTCCCTCTGACCAGATTAGTATAGGCCTCAAAGTATGGCTGTTAAACATCAAAGAAGGATAGTTCCACCAGTCTGGTACTTTTAATTACCATATGCTATGTAGATAGAGCTTGGGCAAAGACCAAAGGCTCTCAGATAAACCTTGACTAGACATATATTGTGTTCCTTGAGCTAGTTGTATGTATAATTTGTCAGTAGGTTGTTGGACTAATATGGTTCCCTCTGGTTTTTTAAAAACTACCTAGGCATTATTTATCTCTCTCACTGTCTAACCCTTCTACCATAGTTTCCCCATTTAAAGGCCCCCATTTTTCCCATAATAATACCCTTACCCTTCTCCTATGGTCCCACCTCTCTTGAGCTCCTTCTTTCCCTTTATCCTCAAGGTTCCTTGTATAATCCACCTTCCCCTCCTCCCATTAAAATAACCCCATTTTTATCCATATCTCCCTTATTAATACCTGTTTCCCACTGTCCTTCTCTTTCAGATTCTTTCGTTTTCTTTACCTCCCTGGTTCCTTTTCATCATCCTGGTTCCTGTAGTTATGTCTGGATACATACTCACTTATCAGGATTTGGTGCTAGGATCCACATATGAGGGAGAACATAAGTCATTTGTTTTTCTGAGTCTGTGTTACTTCACTTAGTATAACAGTTTCTAGTTCCATCCATTTACCTGCAAATTTCAGGATTTCATCTTTCTTTAGTGCTGAGTAAAACTCTATCATATAAATGAACCACGTTTTCATCATCCGCTCGTCAGTTGAGGGACACTTAGGTGGCTTCCATCTCTTAGCTATTGTGAAAAGAGCAGCAACAAACATGGATGTACAAGTGTCTCTGCAATAGGATGAGTTCTTTGGGTATATGCCAAAGAGTGGTATAACTGGGTCGAATGGTAGGTTCACTTGTAGTTTTTAAGTGTTCTCCACACTGTTTTCCATAGGAGAAACAAGCTTGCAATCCCACCAGCAGTGGATGAGTGTTCCCCTTTCCCCATATCCTCTCCAACATTTGGTATCATTTGTTCTCTTGATCTTAGCCAATCTGACTGGGGTAAGATGAAATCTTAAAGGGATTTTAATTTTCATTTCCCTAATTACTAATGATGTTGAACACCTTTCAAGATGCTTCTTAGCCACCTTTATTTCTTCTTTTGAGAACTCTCTGTTCAGCTCCTTAGCCCATCTTTTAATTGGGTTACTTCCTTTCTTGATTTTTTGTTTTTTGAGTTCGTTATATATTCTGGATGTTAAACCTCTGTCAGATGTGTTGCTGGTGAAGATTTCCTCCCATTCTGTGGGTTTTCTCGTCACTTTCTTGGTTGCTTTTTATGATGTACAAATGCTTTTTAGTTTAATGAGGTCTCATTTGTTGATTCTTGATCTCGTTTCCTGAGCAATTGATGTCTGGTTTAGAAAATCCTTTCCTACATCTATATCTGTAGGTTATCCAATGTTTTCTTCTAACAGTTTCAGAGTTTCAGGGTTCACATTGAGTGAGGTCTTTGATCCATTTGGAGTTGACGTTTGTGCAGGGTGAAAGAGAGGGGTTTAGTTTCATTCTTCAACAGGTGGAGATCCAGTTTTGCCAGCACCATTTGCTGAACATTCTGTCTTTCCTCCAGTGAATATTCTTGGCCCCTTTGTCAATTATCAGGTGGCTGAAATTGCATTTACTCATATTTGAGTCTTCAATTTTGTTCCATTGATCTATGGATCTATTTTTGTGCCAGTACCATGTTCTTTTTATGACTATGGTTCTGTAATGCAAGTTAAAATCTGGTATAGTAATCCCCCCGGCATTGCTCTTAGTGCTCAGGGTTGCTTTGGCTATCTGAGGTCTTTTGTGCTTCCATATGAATCTTAGGATGTTTTTTTTCCAATTCTGCAATGAACGTCTTTGGGATTTTGATTGGCATTACATTGAATCTATAAATGGCTTTTGGTTGGATGGTTATTTTCATAATATTAATTCTTCCAGTCCATGAGCATGGGAGATCCTCCATCTTCTGATGTCTTCCTCAAACTCTTTCTTTAAAGATTTAAAATTTTCATTGTAGAGATCTTTAATGTCTTTGGTCAGGTTCATTCTGAAATTA